CATATTTCTATTCCTGAATTTTCAGCAGACATTACACCTGTCAACAGTGTCACATGATCCTTCAGAAATCATTTTGCTTCTCAAGAAACATGTAAGCAATAAGGGTCTCGAGACAAGTGCTGTCTCGTGAATAAGTAATGGCTGAAGGGCGTTGTTAGGCAAAACGCAAAGCGGAGTAACCCCTTCAGCCGTTACTTATTCACGATACAGCACTTGCCTGTCAAAAAAGTCAAAAAATATGTATTAGTGCATCTTTCATGAAGTAAAATCACTAAAAGCCTTCCTTTCGCTAGACAAAAAAATAGTCCCCGACCGTGAACAGCAACAACGTTCCAATGTGTAATATGCATGGAAGCTCAAATAAAAACGGAGCTGCAGTGTTGCACAGTGATAAATAGAACCGTTGAATGAAACGTGTTTTATCATGAAAAAAGCACAGCTATTGACCAATCAGAATCAAGGATTGGAACTAACCGTTTTATAATTCTTATTAATCTATGTTGAAAACAGTTGTGCTGGGTTTTTTTTTTGTTGTTGTTGTTCCAAAGAACAGCATTTTTTCTTTTGATATTTTGATCAATTTAACGCATCACTAAAGACAAGTATTAATTTCTCTAAAAAAAATCTTACTGACCCCAAACATTTGTACAGTGCTGTATATTGTAAATAAATGCCACTTGGTTTGATATTTTGGTACTACCTGATGCGATCTGATTAACTGTTTTAATGTTAACAACAATAACATTTTAATACACATACCTGAAAAACTAATTGAAATTTCTCTATTTGTTTACTCATCTTCATGTCATTCCAAATTTGTGTGAGTTTCTTTTTTTTCCGTTTAACACCAAAAGAGGTGTTAGGCAGAATGTTTAACCTCAGTCACCACTCACTTTCATTGAATCTTAAAAAAGAAAAAGGACAGTGACCTTTGACTGAGGCTGTCATTCTGCCAACATCTCCTTTTGTGTTCCAGAGAAAAAGTGATGATAGAATATTAATTTTTAAGTAAATTATCTATTAAAGGGATACTCCACCATTTTTTCATATGAAACTATGTTATTCCCTTAACTAAGCCGAGTTGATACATACTTCTCTTGTCTCAGTGAGTGCACTCAATCGCTCTGGCGGTCGAGACACTTTGATAGCACTTAAAGGGATAGTTCACTTTGAAATTAATTTTTGATATGTTTTAGCTTACCTCAAGGGCATCCAAGATGTAGGTGTCTTTGTTTCCACATTATTTTCAATTTTGACATTTTTCAGTCAAACCGTTGTTGTCTGTCAGTCATATAATGCAGTTTTAGGGGGTCCACCTCAAAGAGCATGCACAGAGAAGTCAAAATTAAACATGATTTAATGACTCGTGGATGTAAGTACACATTGATGGCCTAAGACACGAAATGAGCGGTTTGTGTGAGAAAACAAACAGTATTTATATCTTTTTTACCTCTTGTTAACAGCCGTTGAACTGATCTGAATCAGATGTCCAACTGAACCTAACTGAACCGTCTCCAGACGTTACGCCGGAAGTGCGTCTGCGCGTCTACGTCACGCATTGTTTACACAGAGATTTCGGAAGTTTTACCTTTCACTAAACATATTTAGATATACGGGAAATCGCAATGGAAGACGATTTCGATATATCTAAATATGTTTAGTGAAAGGTAAAACTTCCGAAATCTCCGTGTAAACAATGCGTGACGTAGAAGCGCGTGAGATCACTTCCGGCGTAACGTTTGGACACGGTTCAGTTCGGTTCAGTTGGACATCTTGATTCAGATCAGTTCGACAGCTGTTAACATGAGGTAAAAACTATATAAATACTGTTTGTTTTCTCACACAAACCGCACGTTTCGTGTCTTAGGCCATCAGTGTGTACTTACATTCACGAGTCATTAAATCATGTTTAATTTTGACCGAGGGTGGACCCCCTTAACCTCCTGTGTATGACTGACAGACAACACCGGTTTGACCGAAAAATGTCAAAATTAAAAATACTGTGAAAACAAAGACACCTACATCTTGGATGCCCTTGAGGTAAGCTAAAACATATCAAAAATTCATTTCAAAGTGAACTATCCCTTTAACTAGCCCAGTTCATTCAATATGGGCCAAGCAGAGAAACGACCAAACACCTCCACGTTTTCCCTATTTAAATACAGTTACACGAGTAGAGTAACTCGACCAAGAACGGTGACACAAAGTAAAACGTTGCACTAAGCGTGTAAAGTGGATAACTATAATGTATGGCGGAATACCACAGCAAGTGCTTGGGAGCACTTCGACTCGGCGCAGTAATATCATCACTCGAGAAAAGTCCTCTCCCTATCCAGAGTGATGAAATTACTGCGCCGAGTCCATAGATATATATGCGCCGAGTCGAAGTGCTCCTAATTACTTGCTGTGGTATTTCGCCATACAATATAATGTAGTTATCCACTTTACACGCTTATAAAAGCGAAACATTTTATTTTGGGTCACCGTTCTCGAGTTACAGTACTCGTGTAACTGTATTTAAATAGGGAAAACGTGGAGGTGTTTGGTCGCTGCTCTGCTTGGCCCATATTGAATGAAGCGGGCTAAGTTAAAGTGCAATCAAAGTGTCTCGCGATTGAGACGAGAGAGGTATGTATCAACTCCTCTTAGTTAAGGGAATAACATAGTTTAATATGAACATAAAACAATGAAATATCCCTTTAATAGGAGAAACATAAACATTGTGTATAATCAATGTTACAAAAAGGCACTGCATGATTTTTAACAGTATCACACACACACACCTGCGGAGCTCGTTCATGACCCTGAAGGCTTTCTTCATGTGACGTGGATTGATGGTGACTGCACTCTGTTTCTCACACACATCATCCTTCAGCTCCACAGCTTTATGATGGCAAAGCTTAGTGCATCTGAAAGAGACACACACACACAGAGAGTGGTTCATCACCAACCACAGTAACATTACGCAATCTTAAGAGTGGCCATTTAGTATGGTAGCTTGCTTCAGCTACAGAATAAAAACATTAAAAAGGTCATTTGGACTTATCTCACAATTCTGTTTATTTTTTCCTCATAATTGCTTGTTTATGTCCCTTAATTGAAAATGTTCCCAGAAAAAAGGTATGACTTGTTAGAAAAAAGCAAAAAACTGTGAGATGAAAAATAACCTTCTTTTTATTATTATTAAATTTCTTTATATGGACAAGCTTCCATTACATGGCAATTTTCAAAAGTGACTAGTCAGTTCCTTAACATGTGAGAGAAAAAGTATTCCAAGTGTGTGGACAAAGACAGAGAGATGTCATGTGATCTTATGGCTGAACTGATTTACTCTATATTGACATTACAGTAGTGTGAACACATGCAGCTCTCTCTTCCTCTCTCTCACACAAACACAGCACTTACAGTGGATGTATCTCCATAGCGCTGGTTCTGTTTACATCAGTCTGCGTCTCTCCATCTCTGTTCGGGCTCTGTCGTTTAAACCCCCGCCGTGTCCCGTTCACAGAACCGAGCCGAACCGGGCTGGACTGACCCGGTGTGCGGGTCCAGCTCCGCAAACACAAATTAAAATCAGCCTCAGAAACGGTGTCAGTGTGACTGACTTGTCCAGATAATGAGAAACAGACAGGTCCGTTGTGTGGGTGAAGACAGGACACATCCAGAGACGGAGACGCTATTTCTCACATACAAAAACAAGAGTGAAGGAAAGAATGACACTCTCCTTCGGCGAAACACAAAAAGCACGAGCGGCCCCACAGCGGCGCCTACTGCTGGAAGACCTCAATTTGCGTTCGGTAATATTATTACGGTCCATGTTTGTATGCCATCTCAGACCATGATTGTTTTGAGGTCGAGTAAGTCTTAAAATGAAATCATGTTTCTAATTAAGATTTTTAATGTTTTGAAAGAAGCCATTATGCGCAGCAAGGCCGCGTAGCCTACTTAAAAAATAAAATAAAGTAATAGCCTATTCATATAAAAAATACAGTACTGTACTATTGTAAAATATTATATTATAAAATACAAATTTTCAAATTTTAATATATCTGAAAGTGCAATATGATAAAGCTGAATTTTCAACATCATTATCCCAGTCTTTAGTGTCACATGATCCTTCAGAAATCATAGCAATATGCTACTTTGGTGCTTAAAAACATTTTTATTATTAGCAATGCTGAAAATCGTTGTGCCGATTAATATTTTTGTGCAAACTGTGATATTTGTCAGGATTCTTTGATGAATAGCAAGTTCACAAGAACAGGATTTTGTTTGGAAAACGTTTGTAATATTAAAAATCTCACTAGTGTCACATTTGATCGATGTAATGTCCTTGTGAATAAAAGTATTAGTTTCTTAAAAACCTCAATGACCACAAACGTTTGAACATTATTGGAAACAAAAATAATTATTGTAAAAAAAAAAACTATACTACAAGACATATAACATCAAAATAAAGAAATGTTTTCATAATAATAAAAACATTTACTTGTTTTTGTCAATATCAGTGTGCCATCCTTTAACATGCTACTTTCATAAAATGATATGAATGATTTAGATGAAGTCTAGTGTAACTAGATGATACAATTTAGTCCAGTCAGAATTTATCAGTATTTTTGAACATTCCACTTGTTCCACAGTGGCAAGATAAGATAATCTTAATGTTGTTATTTTGTGACAACCTCATAAAAAGACTATTTGTTTTAAAATACTATGCATAAAATGTCCCCACAATCTTGACAGGTCTCAATAAAATAGGTGACCTGAGATACGACACTCATCTCACAACCTTGGGCTCTGTAAACAGCAAAGTAGAATCTGACCACAGACCACACGTGTTAGCCAATCAGAAAACCAAGAGGCGACTCTCTGCCAATGGCATGAGTTTTGGGCGGTGCTACTCGTTTGTCAAAATAGTGTCAAACTCTTTTGTCATTTCTTCTCCAAGATGATTTGTACTCAAGATTAACATGATTAAAGTAGAGAAACAAGACATGAGATTTCATTGCTACAGTGTTTATTTTCCTTCAGTCATTTGTAGCTGAATTGTGTCCAATAAACAGAATAGGTCTCTGAAATCTTTAACAAAATATAACCAATATTTACAATAGTTGTATTAAAAATACAAAAGTAGTTACAGACTTTGCCAGTTGTCTTTGTAAAAGACGTAGAAATACATGTGATTCTTATAGATTTGGCTGGGTAGAAACACAAGGAGCTAAAAGCGATACATTTGAACTCATGACATTCTATATAAAATATATTGTAACTATTTACTGACCATATCATAACCACCTAACATCTATGCAACAACTATAATTTACATTTTCTTGACTACCATCTCTTGCTTTTGAAAATTTGTGCAACAATTCAGGATTTGTGCCATACATTTTGACAGCCAGAAACAATGACACTGACAGATAAAATTAAATAAAAATACAAAACATTAAAATCTTTTCAAACAGAATCTTGTGGGCACATTTGGAAAGTTTTTAGGGTCACGATCAAATGAGAAAAGGCATGTTTAAAATAATCATATACTTGTGAGTAACATTAAACACTGATATTGAGGTCTGTGAGAGGCAGCTTCCTCAGTCTTATCTTTCTGTCTTCAAGTGTCCGAAGAGAGATACATCTCCTGTGATTGATTCACTCACTCACACACACACACACACACACTTTCTGTAACACATTACAATCTAAAGTAACATGGCAGATTAAAACTGAAATGAAATGGCATAATACTGGTTTCCATGGTTTTATAACACTGATATTACATTATGTGCAACACCTATCATCATTCTGTACTTAAAACACGACTATGTTCTTCATTCTATTACTCAACAATCTGTTTGTTCCTTCTTGTCTTTGTTTTGCAGAACTTATGTTAAAAGTGCCTTTCTCTGCTCCTTTCCTCTTTCACAGTGATCTCCATTAAGGTCCTAAATGCTTTGCTATATTTCAATCCAGGCCAAGGTTGTGAAACACTGGGGGTAGAGATATTATAAGGGGCCCTTGTTACACTGCAGATATCTGCTCATTTTCTGTAAAGAGAAAAGACAAAAAAAAAAAAGAGATTGAGTTCTAATATTCAAATATTTAAAAAAAGAAAAAATAATCTGCAATTTTTATTAGATGGACATATTGTGCTTCATGACCAATACATGATTGTCATATTTAAAAGTACAATTATTTTTTAATGTTTTTATTTCATGTGTAAGTGTCTCAAACAACAATAAAGTTGTTTACAAAAAAAAAAAATGATGAATGGAAACATTTGAATTGTTTTCTATGCAAAATTTTGGGCTGTGTAACTGTCAACCATTTAAGTCCTAGAACATTTTTGGGGCACCTGACTCGAACCATTCTAGTAGACAGCATCAAAATCATATCAAGTATCAAGTCTCATTTAATTATATATAACCCTTTCAACTCCAACGCAGACCAAAGGACTGTACATCTAAAAGCAAGAAAAACATACAAAAAAAAAAAAAATAATAATAATTTTATCAAAGACAAGACATTTCAATCTAGCTCATTTAAAGCCACAATTTTATATTTATTTTGTCTGATAATGGATGAATTTACAAGAATTAAGAAAAACGGCAGCAAAATGTTTATTTATTTACTTATTTATTTTATTTTTTTACGGTGAGCGAGAAAAAAAAAACTTCTGAAAAAAAAAAAGGTTCTGTTTAAAAAAGTTTACTGTATGTACAGTATGTGTGTGTTTATACACACACATATGGTGCTTTTCCACCGCTGGTACGGCTCAGCACGGTTCGGCTTGGCGCGGCACGGTTCGGCTCATTTCGCTTTTCCACTGCGTGGTATGACTCGGCTCGGTTCGTTTTAGCTCGGTTGCTTTTCCACTGCAGTTAGTACCGCTTTAAAGTGGGTGGGATTACTTTAAAAGCAGTCGCTACAGCGGTGGCTGTTACTGGCTATTTAAATCTAGCAGGTTTGGTTTCTCGTGTCGCAAATACAATGACGCTGGCAGTGATGATTCAGTCTGACCAATCAGTGATCTGCAGTGTTTTACGTCACATTTTAGTACCGGTACGGTATGCTTGGAACCTCAACAGACCAGGCACCATTTAAAGCGAGCCGTACCGTACCATGCAGTGGAAAAGTGCTAAAGCGTGCCGAAGCAAACCGTACCGTACTATGCAGTGAAAAAGTGCCATTACTGTATATAAAATTCAATCTGAACATGAACAAATGCATATACTGCAGAAAGTAGAGAAAACAATTGAGAATTGTCTTGTAAAAAAAAAATACAAATACAAAAGTAGTATTAACATAAACAAAATGGTTCTCTTGGCTACGGCAGTTATATCTGTCGGAATCAAGTCCACCGGGACAATGTAGAAATCAAATTTTAATGCATCATTTGGTGTGTACCACTTGTTTATACACATTATTGGTTAAGCGTTATGCCAAATTTCTACTTTGTCAGAGAGTACTCATGCAAATCTGTTATTTTGTGTTTGTTTTCATGCATGCACATAACTACTTTCACTTTGTGTTCCTTAAAATTTCCAAAGAAACATGCTAACTGCTGGTTCAAAACACCAAAACCTATGTTTATTGGCCCAGAGGGAAAAAAAAAAAAAAAAAATACATGGGTTTCTTTGACGAAATTAATGCGATTTAAAACTACTTGTAATCATGTTAATTACGGAGCCTATTCTTAAACATTTAAGAATAGTTATTTTTTAGCTGAGGACAGGTGTCTCTGTGTAAGGGTTAAGCTTCATATTACTTTTTCGGTTAAAAAATTATCCAAAAAATAAATTAAATGGGTAATAAAATATTGGTCAAAAGATCAATGTCTACGGCCAAGCAGTTTTTAAGTTAGGTCTGGTCTTCCTATTTAATTTTTTTGAAAGTCAAAACACAGCGATGTTTTGCTGATCTTTTTGTAGTGATTACTTACTGCATAATCAAATACTCACCATCCGGTTGTGGTCGTCGTGGTGACTGGCAGTAAGCTGGTAATCTACTCGATGGGTGCACTGGAGGAGCATCACATGACCTTTTAAGGAATCGAGACCTCTGCAGAGCGGCAGTGTAGTCTGGTGGGCGTCGCCCATGAGCATGACTGAGGTTGTCTGCCTCAGCCAATGACAGAGCAGTATAACCAGGTGGTGTGGGCGGCGGGTCTCTAAAACGTCCCTCCCTTCGACTCACAGGATTCTTGTTTGTATTTGGAGTCTCATCTTTTCCACCTCTTCTTTTTATCGTTCCTGTGTCGCCTTCCTGTTCATCACCCCAGTAACCGGTAGGTGTGGTCACGTGACTACGTCCCATCCCTTCTGACAGCGTCTCCCAGCTGCGGTTGTCATAATAACCCACACGCTGTGGAATGCTCTGGATATTGTCATGGGAACCACTGGAGCAGGACGTCCAGCTGCCACGGCCACTGTCTACTGCGTCCAACGACGCACGGTCACACTGATCCTGAGTCAAGGAGTAGGATCTGAGAGACAGAAATATAGAAAGACTTAAAAAAAAGTTACTAGACCAATTGACATCCAGAAGAAAAAAAAAAATATTTTTTAACTTTTGAAGTAATTGTGTGTAGACTTCTTACCCCAGGCTTATTTGGTCAGGCTCTGCTCTACGTGAGCTGAGTGGGTGAGCAAGTGTATGGGGCTGCACATGTGTGTGGTCATCAACCATGATGAGATCAGAGGAGGAGGAGCTTAACAGACTCAACTGATCTGATGCTTCACTCACCACTAACTGTGGGGCTATAAGAAAAACATGCATAAATAAGCAAACAAAAATTCTATAAATCAGAGAATATCTCAGGCTGTAGAGGTGTGAATCTTTGTGTTGGGTTGATCTTAACCTATAATTGATTTTCAAACCAAAAATTTATTTATTTATATATATATATATATATATATATATATATATATATATATTCAACATTTGTTAATTTCTTGGATTAATAAAAAAAAATATTTCTTAAGTTAACCATCACTTATTACAAAAACTAGATTATAATTATTTATCTTCATCTAAATAATGCCATGATATAATAACAATTTAATAATGATTTCTGAAGGATCATGTGACTGAAGACAGGAGTAATGGCTGATGAAAATTTTGCTTTGCACCACATAAAATACATTATATTTTAAAGTATAATAAAATAGAAAGCCATTATTTTAAATTGTAATTATATTTCACAATACTTCTGTTTTATTCCTGTATTTTTGATCAAATAAAAGCTTCAAGAGCATAAGAGGCATCTTTCAAAAACATTTAAAATAGTTATGTTTCCAAACTTATGGCCAGTAACACTCTCACCAGGCACTTTATTAGGTACACCCATTCAACTGCTTGTTAATACAAATATCTAATCAGCCAATCACAATGCAGATAGTCAAGACGATCTGCTGAAGTTCAATCTGAGCATCACAATGGGTTAGAAAGGGGATTTAAGTAACTTTGATTGTGGCATGGTTGCTGTTGCCAGACGGGCTGCTCGATCTACTGGGAATTTCATGCATTAACATCCCAAGGGTTTACAGAGAATGGTGCGAGAAAGAAAATATCCAGTGAGCGGCAGTTCTGTGGGCGAAAATGCCTTGATGATGCCAGAGAATGGCCATACTGGTCCAAGCTGACAGTAACTCAAACGACTACCCGTCACAACTGAGTTATGCAGAAGAGCAACTTTGGGATGTGGTGAAACGGGATATTCACATTATGGATGTGCAGCCAAATAATTTCTAGCAACAGCCTATTGCCATCGTGTCAACATGCCAGCAGTGCTACCAAGTTTTATTGATAGTGAACTGAATCAATACACATAACTACATACCTTTTCTAGGTGTATTGTGAGGTGAGGTACGTGGAGAGGAGAGTAGAGAGGAAGCATTTGATTGGCTGTCCTCAGGTGGCTTTCGCTGCCTGTCCCTCCCCTTTTCTGACAGAGACAAAATCTTATGGAGAGACTGAGGAGACTGGGCACCTACAGACACAAAAACACCATCTCAATGCAAACAAGACTGACAAGTCACCAGCAGAGGGTGCTCCAATAATACCAGAACTCGGCTCATTCGTATAGTTACAACAGAGAAAGGTCTTACCAAATGGTGGCAACTCTTTGTCAAGTGATTTCTTGACACCGTGACTTCCATTTGTTTGCTGCGGAGTGGTGCTTCTCTGACCGACAGGAGATGCATCCAATCGCCTCCTCTCACCTGAGTTCTTCAGTGCTGAAACCACATGTACACACAAACAAGTTTAGCTGGCCCATTACATAAAAACGAAATGTATAAATGTTTTAATTCTTTTTATCAAACAGAACAAAGTTAAGTTTCAGATATCAATTTATGCAAAAAAAAAAAAAAAATTCCATTCCATTTCATTACTATGTAATTATGTCACATTATGGTGTCTAAAGACATTTGAGAACATAAATTATTCATGCATGACTTAATAAACTGAGCGGATCAATGCAAAAATACATGCAAAAGAGTTAGGCACTATAAAAGTAATGTAATGATCCAACTAGCAATAATCAATTTTTATCTTAAAGGGTTAGTTCACCCAAAAATGAAAATTAAGTCATTAATTACTCACCCCCATGCTGTACCAACCCCGTAAGACCTTCGTTCGTCTTCGGAACACAAATGAAGATATTTTTGATTAAATTTGAGAGCTGTATAACTACCACATTGGCTCCTAAGGGACTGCCTCTTGACGGCCCAAAAAGTCAATGAAGAAAATGTTTAAATATCCCAAGTGACTACCGTGGCTCAACTATATGTTTATCAAGCGACGCGAATACTTTTTGTGCGAAAAAACAAACAAAAATAACGAGTTTATTCGACTATTTCTTTTCTTCCTTGTAGGCCAGAACGAGACTTCCTTATAGATTTCCACGACGCATGCGCGAGAATTGCGATCTGAAGTAGTGAAGGCTGGTGTGAGCAGATCGCAAATCTCGCGCATGCGTCGTGGAAATCTAAGGAATTCTCGTTCTGGCCTACAAGGAAGAAAAGAAATAGTCGAATAAACTCGTTATTTTTGTTTGTTTTTTCGCACAAAAAGTATTCGCGTCGCTTGATAAACATATAGTTGAGCCACGGTAGTCACTTGGGATATTTAAACATTTTCTTCATTGACTTTCTGGGCCGTCAAGAGGCAGTCCTTTAGGAGCCAATGTGGTAGTTATACAGCTCTCAAATTTAATCAAAAATATCTTCATTTGTGTTCCGAAGACGAACGAAGGTCTTACGGGGTTGGTACAGCATGGGGGTGAGTAATTAATGACTTAATTTTCATTTTTGGGTGAACTAACCCTTTAACCATTCATAATACTCAATGAAATCAGGAAGTCAGAGTCATCGTGTTCTTTAAAAGGTGCGTGCCAACTCACTTGAGCTGTTGGCGGGCTCACATTGCATGGAGAGTTCTTGGAGTGTGTCTTCATTACTCTCATGTGATTGAGTGTCCAGATACTGCCGCACACGTCTGCTCATCATCTCCACCTCGTAGAGTTTCTTAGCACTGAGAAAAGAGCTGCGCCTCCCTTTCCTCTTCCCGCCCATCGTTCCGATGTCCGAGAGAGAGGAGCTGCTCACCTGGCTTAGAGACCTAAACACATAAGAACAAAAGACACAATGCATGTTAACGGCAACAGGTCAACACAAACTAAGAGAGAAAGTTAGCTAGACAACTAGATCAATCAGCCAGAGAATCATGCTGGGAAATTAATATGGCCCTTTTTAACATGCACAAAGAAGAGAATTTAGATGCTACAGGTTAATAAAATATTTACATGTCTAGGAAGTAGGCATGAATAATCAACTAGTCTGGTTAGTTAAAGTACGAGTACCTGTCAACTAGTAAAATAACTTATAAATGTACGTTCTTTCGCACTTACTTGCCTCAGGCAACAGGGGTTTTATGGATAACTAAACTTAACACAACACACACACACACACACACACACAAAACTTAACTGAAAAAGCTGAAATAAATATTAGACGAAAACTTTGGCATTTGCATCTAAATGAAATTATTTTAAGTTGAAGCACTAAAATTGGCAATAAACTGGAAATAATTAAAAACTGAAACTAATAAATAAAAAAATAAACTGTAATAGGCATAAAATATACTAATTTTTTTTTTTACAAAAATTATATAAAAAAATGGAAATAAAAAACTGTGATAGTATATAAATACTTGTAAATTAACAGGCACCAATGACATTGTTTCCTACTGTCTACTAACGGTTAAGTACCACCAAATGTTCATTGTTCCAGCAACCTCTGTACTGGCAGAGTGACCTGTTGTTAAAAAGCTAAGATATTTATCTTTTGATTTATTTTGTAATTCCTCCTTTGGTTGTCTTTTTTATATAAACAGAGCACACAAGGATTGTCTATGCAAGCCACAGGCGAGTGCAAACATGCTTTTATTATTGGTTTTATATCTTGATGTTTTCATTGATGTATATTGGTTTTAAAATTAAATAATTTAATCTAGTATTGATTTTACAATATTGTATTAACCATTACTGAACAAATAATAAAAAAAAACATTTTAGTATTACTTAAAGAGTTAGTTCACCCAAAAAGGAAAATTCTGTCATTATTTACTCACCCTCATGTTGTTCCAACCCTCAATGTGTTTTTTTGTTCTACTGAACACAAAGGAAGATAATTGGAAGAATGTTTTAATCAAACAGATCTCATTCCCCATTGACTACCATAGTATGTATTTTCCTCCTATGGAAGTCAATGGGGAATGAGATCTGTTTGATTAAAACATTCTTCCAAATATCTTCCTTTCTGTATAGCAGAACAAATAAACACATAGAGGTTTGGTAAATACTGACAGAATTTTCATGTTTGTCCCACTCCTACTCAAGTAGCAGATATACTTTTAAACAACCATATAAATTATGGTAGGAAAACATTGATAAGAAAAACGCATGCCCTTCCAGAGAATGAAAATTAGCATAATTATAATGGAAGAAGGACGTGAAAGATGAGAATTTACAAATGCAGTGCAACTAAAGCTAGGCTATTCAAAGAAATGTTAGTGTGGTTTAGTACACAACACGGCAAAAACAATGACAGTTAACAGAGAAAGTGAAGGAAACAAAAAGAAAGACGGTACCAGTCCCACTTACCCAAGACTCCTCCACTTTTTCTTCCTAAAACACAGACCATTGAAGAGCCGAAGAAAAAGAAAATTAAGAGATCAAGAAAAGGGAGACAAAAAGACACTAGTGCTTAGACAGTAAAGCCCACAGAGCAAAGGCCCCAAAACAAGAAGTCCAGTAAGACACCAAGCACAAATGACTGCCAGCACAAACTATTAGCAATGGATATATGCCCCAATGTGTTTAATACCTAGTGAGCTGCCTATGTACTACTTAAAATATTTTATGTAGGGATGCTCCGATCAGGATTTTTACGATATGACAAACGACTCCTTGTCATCATGATCAGCAGATACCAATCCCAATCAATCAGGCTTTACATGTGATATATAAGCTTTCCGTTGAGTTTCACTGTTAACCCCTTACACCATGTAAGTGTCATATTTAAAAGTAATGGCCTATAACTCTACAAAAAAGATAAAACATGGTACCATCAGGTACATAATCTCATTTTATTAAAAAAAACTTTTAGAATGTGAGCGAATTGATTTTTATCAACAGGCTTTCCGTTGTCCAGTAATTATCGGAGATTGGCCGGGAAAATTACATCTCTTCGGTCAAATTGTCAGAATAAAATGGCCTAATAATCCCACCTCCCTTACACAATCTGAATCTGAGAATAAGCCAAAAATGTAAAGCAAAAATACACCGACCAATCAGAAGGATTATTTGCCATTTTACAAGCATTGAGTCTGCGGACACTGCTCCTCTTATCAATGCCATAAGCCAGCGATGTGATGCCCTCGCTGTGTGCTTATAGAGCTCTGTGATTATGGAGGATTGCATTTTTTCATTGCCTGTGAAGTCCTCATTTGTGATTTCCAGTAGGGATACTCATTTCGGTTAATTCTCCCGACCGACAACCGCCGCTCGTTAATCGATTATTAACCGCTAATTGAAAAGATTATAATATTGAAGTGGCATTAAATAAAAATGATGCGCATCTGTGACCCGTTAAATTATTTATTTATTTTTTAATCAAAGGGTTTATTTTAACGTGCAAAGAGCAGCATACAGAACAGTTCAACAACAGAACTGGATTCAGATCAAATTTTCACACACCTGCTGCATTTCAGACAGAGAAAAAAAACAGAATAAACAAACACAAATAAAAAACATAAAATTGGCCAACACTAAATATATTTTTTAACTTAAATAATTCATTTAAGATGACAAAAAGAAAACACTGAATCAGTTTAAACGAAGCTTTCAAAAAACTAACAAATTTTTATGTTAGACTAAGATTTTTCGTGAAATAGCAGCCCTACCTCAATCCAAACCGAGATGTTTTCATCTCGATGAGGCGCGGACACTCTTGGAAAAAACGAGTGTGTAGCTTCCATTATGAGCGCACATACCGTGGGCCTACATTTGAAATAATGAACTTGCTTGTAAATGAACGAGCGAACGAGCTTGTAAAAGACGCGATATGTGAACAGGCCCTTACGCGCATTGTAAGTTGTGGAGAGATACTGATAAGTTTTGATTTTAAGTCGGCAGATGCACAATTCAGCACTGCAAAACTGCATAAAAATTAGGCTAAAATGATGCAAGACAATGTTATAGGCCTAGTCATTTGTTTGTTCCAGTTCATTTGTTAAGGAGTCATTGCACAGTGGCGATTTAAATGTTTCCAGCTAAATGAGACAAATGAGACAATGAAAAAAAAACAATTGGTTACTTTAGTTTAGTAAACTATGAACTATGGAATTATTAAACTATGGGATTAGTTTATTAAACTATGAATGTGAAACCATAGTAAAAACAATTGGCATTTGATTGACACCAATCAGACGTTCATATATTTTTTTTTTTTGTCTATTTGAATGTTAAGCTAAAAAACATGTTGCATTCTATACGGCCTGATACCAATTCAATTTGTAAAAAAGTACAAATTGCCATGAGAGTGTGTTGTTCTTACACATTTCAAATCTGTATTCTGTATGACACATCATGTCATTTTTTAAGTTACATAGCCTGCCTCCAGTTTACCTCAACTTGACTAATTAAGAGGTGATATTTGACCGGCATATCATCAAAATGACAGTAAAACGAAAACCATTTTTTTTAGCGGAAACTCTGATTTGGACCTTATGTTACAACACTGCTGGCAAAACCTCTCTGCACAATGTCCCCAACTATCATACCCAAGATCATTGATTCATTTGTTGAACTCAAATGAAGTTGGAAAACACTGCGTCATGAACGCATTGTGATCGTATCCCAGAAGTCCTATAGCCTATAGCTGTCACTATGTCACTTGTTATGTTGCATGTTTATCAGCCAATAGCGATCTGAGGCTGATCGATCGGAGCATCCATAATTTTGATCATAAGGCATCATAAGTACAGTAGGTATCTTAATTACACTGCCCAACACATTAATGTTTCATGTGGACTGCAAACCCACAATGCTGACAGGAACACACATTCAAACATTGAACAATAATATTTCAGTTCAATAAAAGAAAAGATTATTTTTAAATCGGCCACAGATGAGGTTTCATTTCCTGTGCAGGTAGCGATGCAGCTCAGTAAGATTCGAAAAAGAGCTAGTGTGTCTGCTTGATTATGTTTTTATGTATGAAATATCATTGCAAAAATATCACAAGAAATAATTGTACACTTTGTGAGTGAGTGTACCTAGTCTTAAAAAGCAATGCAGGGTCCATAGTGATGGAAGCCATTCGAACAACGTGTCGGATCTCTCGTGCAATCATCCTCAACTTCTCAAAATTCACCAGACCATCCACCTTAGAGTTGTTGCCTATAAGCGCATGTTTGACAGGTTAAAACATTTTTAATATTTTTTTTTTAACCAAACTAAATTTTTAGGCATCAAAAACAGAGAAAAACACAGATTACCCTCATGGAGGAAGGTGAGGTCTTTCTTAATGACAGGAAACAGAGGGATAACTGGCGGCTGCAGGTTGTGTTTGTTGAGGAGGTTACGGTATTTGGCCATGTTGCGAGAGGGGTCGAAAACGTCCTGTAATTCTGCCAAAAGCTTCTCGTATTTTCCAGGCAATCGTTCCCATGTAGATCGCAACCGAGAGACAGGTGCTAGATTGAACCCACTGCAAAATACACAGATACACTTTAGAAATTGTATAATGGGGAGGAGACAGACTATTCCCAGCATTAACGAACAAACTAGACACGTTTTTGCAAGAAAAACAAACACATTGATATAAACATGTTTATATGGCAAGAAGCATGGAACAACTAAATAAATAAGAAAATGGCACTCTGTTCAATCAGTTATATTTTATTGCAGAAAATTTAATGGATTAAATTAAAAGTTATGGCGGTGCTGGTTTTCCTTAAATTTTCTGAGAAAATGATAGATAAGATTAAGTAATAGTATATATTAATAATAATTTAGTATAATATATTATTTTATAATAACAAGTATTTACAATAATAATGTATATAACATAATTTATATAATAATCATATTTTAATTTTTCAATAATAATAATAACATTTATTATGATTAATAATATTATTAGGTTAACGGTAACACATAACAATAAGGTTTCATTAGTTAACATTAGTTAAAATTATCTAGAATGAACAATAGTTCTACAGCATTTATTAAATGTTAAATTCAACATTTACAAATACATTATTTATTAAAATCAAGTTGTATTTGTTAACATTAATGCACTGTGAACTAACATGAACAAACGATGAACAGTTGTGTTTTTATTAACTAACGTTAACAAATTAATAAATACTGTAAGAAATGCATTGCTGATTGTTAGTTATGTTACATTAACTAATGTTAACAAACGAGACCTTGTTGTAAAGTGTTATCATGTAAACTGATCTGGGAATGTAAACTGATCTGGGAATGTAAACTACAGCCGCAGAAATACGATGCATTCAAACATGACTGCATCATGATGATACTACTTGATACCGTGATCATGTTTCATGGTATGATACCATGACAACACTAATAGACAAAAACTAAAGTGCTCATTTGATAATAATCATTTCCTAGAAACTAAGTCTACCTGATAATGGCAAACATGGAGTTGAAGTTCTTGCAGTCACGGCAGTGAAGAGCAATCTTTATAAAGTGCTTGATGATCTTCATTCTTTTGGCTTGGTTGGTTTCCTGTACAATCTCTGTGGCGACCCAGAAAGTCTCCTGGTTTACAAGATACTCAAAGTTGCGCAGGTTGGTGGGAGGATCTTGTGGGTGGAGCTTGAAGAGGTCATTTATGTAATCCGTCGGTTCAATGCTGGAGAAGAGCAGATAGTTGCGTGCTGACAGCTGATTGGCTATCTCCATGGAGCTTAAGGACAGCAGAGGGACCACAGATTCTCGCTGCATTTCCTGTGCTTCCACATCTGAACACAGTGTCTCCGTCTCAGTGTTGTTCTTTAGATAGTACCTGACAAGGAAGCAGCGAAAAACAGCCATCACATATAAAAATAAATCACTAAATAGTCCATTTGAATTCTAAAATTTAGCTTAAGACCAAACCTAGCACTCAGCTGTATCCTGTCAGCCAGTTTAGAGAGTTGATCAGGAAGTCGCCTCTGTTTGATAACGCCCTCCTGTGTGACTGACACCTCACAAAGTGAATAGGCCTCGGGACTTGTGGTCAAGCCAAACTCTCGCATTGCCTGATTGGCTGCTTCTCTCGCTGTGGTGTCCCTATTGATCAGCAAGAAACGACTTTGTTGGTCTGCCTTGAAAACTCGCAGCACCTGGTCTTGCAATTCTGTGAATGAAAAAGTTTAACAAAGCATAAAATTAATGTATATAGGTTTATAAAGTGAATGTAAACCTCAAACATTTCTGCATAGCACAGATTACATGCAACTTCTAGAGCTACATTAGCTAAATGGACGAGGTAGATATAACATTCAAGTGAAAAGAGGTGATAGGAACCCTAACAACAAAGACAAAAAGGTTAACTGGAGATCCAGATCAAGCAGAAGTCAGATAAGGCATCTCGGTACTAATGAAAATAAAAGATGTAGAAACATATAAGCTATACAGCATCTTGTAATGAAAGTAGAGGCGACATTGAGACAAAACAATTCTAAAGTAGAGCTGTCAAAAGTACATGTTCTTCAGTAACGTCACTTAAAAAAAAAAGCTACTACCAGTCCTTTAGATCCTGTATTCGTTTTTGCAGGATATTTTAGGTTTATGTCATTTACAATTGTGTATGTCTGGTATCAAACAAGGTATCAAATGCTACATTATACAACTTTTTTTCTTCTACTTCTTGTAGGACAATCTTACAATCAGTTGTTTTGTTGACAGAGTGATCTAGTAAGATCTGGTGTGGTGATCACAGACAACCAGTGGTATAGCTCAAACCACTAGACTCAACCACAGAGATATGTAGTGTACCTTTGTTAATGTATGTTGGTAAAATGTAAGTAATAAAAAAATGGATGTGTGTAAAAATAGATCTAAATGTAGCCAATTAGATCTACTGATTTTAAAAATGTTTTTTTTTTTTTTTTTTTTTACAGTTTTCTTGAATTACTTCAGAACTTGCTTAATTGTAGCTACTTTATTCAGAAATACTTCAAGACAATTCTAAACAAACAGCAGCTACAGAAACAGACTTGGACATAAACATAAAATACAAATTGGTAAGAGTGGTACTGTATATCAATGAAAATAAATGGTAACTACTGGACTTGGCCCAGTTGCAAGTTTTTCAGATGGCACAAAGTGTATGTGTTTACACAGACAGGACACTGAAATAAACCAGAGACAATGCAATAATAAAGTGTGGATATAGTTCCACAGCCTTAAGGCACATTTCCTTTAACCAAGAGCGTGAGTCAGGCTTGCCAGATGACTGGAAAAACAAAGTATATTAGCAAAAACATGGCAACAGTGCTGCTACACACTTTTTAAACTTTCAAGAAAACAAGAACTTCCTACAAGTCTGTTTTTATCCACAAGTGACAGATTACCCATGGTGATGCCATCAGCGCGAAAAACTTGCCACTGACTCAAATGAACCATATCTGTAAAAGAACGATTACTATAAAGGGCTAAAAAGATCAGCATAGCAGAGAGAAGAAAAGAGAGTCAACTAGAGAAAACTATACAGAGATAGACAGGCAATTACGTGAGACAGGTTTCTATGAAGAAGAAGAACGGTTATCTAGAGGAGACGAGTGGAACCAAACACGTCAGGTGTCTAAAAAGACGAGCAGAACCGCAGTAGTGCACAAATACTCACGAGTGAATCCAGATGCTGTGAGCAAGGAGAAGGTAGCGCGATCATTAGTAAATCGCACAGATATAACAAAAGTAAAGCAGGAACAAAAAAAAGATTTTTTGAAATTGAAATAAAAAGTGTCCACGTAAACGTAAGACATCGAGACAACTGACAGGATCAAAAACAGGCAGCGGAGCTTGAAACGTGCAAGTGTCCTCCTGTGGGTCTCCACAAAGAGAAGCCCGCGGGGGTGAGTGCGCCTGATCATGGGATAGGCCTACATGTGGATCATCATCGCATCCTTAAAGCATTATTTTTGACAGACCAAATAAATTATTGGTAACACTTTACAATAAGGTTCATTAGTTACTACATTAGTTAACATTAACAAAGAATGAACAAAACTTCTTCAGCATTTGTTAATCTTTGGTAATGTTAATTTCAACATTTACTAATACTTTATTAAAATCTTGTTAACATTATAATGGACTGTGAACTAACATGAACAAACTATGAACAGCTAGATTTGTATTAACTAACGTTAACAAAGAATAACAAATACAGTAACAAATGGTTAGTTCATGTTAGTTAATGCATGAACTAATGTTTAATAAATGAACCTTATTTATTTATTTATGATATTAACATAATTATACTAATATATAATTTTATTTACTACAAATGCATTTTATAATTAAATCACATTATCATCGTGTGCACACTAATTATTAATTGTTCATCTGAATATTCTGTATCCATTTACCTGGTGGCTGTGTACTGTAGTCGATGATGCGTTGTTGGCCTTGGGCCAAGTCAGGGTTACTGGATGAGAGATTTCCGCTGACTGGCATAGTGGTCGGAGTTTGTTTGTTCTGCCGTAATCCCACAATGCTGTCATCCTGAGTCTGCCCTAACCCGAGGTCACTACACAACAAAGGCAAAATGACTCCACATGACTCCAAATGACGTAAAATACGTACATTCATCTATCAGAATTTACCACATAAACCACAAGGGGTTGATGTGAAATATTGCTTAAAATCCCATCAATAAAATATGACTAAGATGGCAAGATTTGTACTCTTTAAAGGACTTTAAAGTCAGCAATAGTGTGAGAAGAAGAGAGTGTGCGCTTGTATACCTGTAAGGTTTCTGAGGTAGGATGCTCATGCGCGTCTTGTCTAGAATCTTCATCAGTTTGTTTCGACCGCCCACTGTATGAGCTTTGACCTTCTTGCTGACCTTTTCTTGACCAATCACATCAGATCCAGCCCCAAGTTCAGGTACAGAATAGCGGCTATTTTTCTTTCCGTCACCAATCTTTGGAAGATGAGGAACGCCGTTTTTCCTTTCCTCTGCCACCCTGGCCACCAACTCCTTGAAGACTGAGAAGAGTGAAAATGAGTAAAGATAAGAAAAGGGGGATAAAACACTCTGAGATGTTGAATTCAGCAGTCAGTGAGTGTTGAGGATGTATCCCGGAGGGAACCTCACCCAGAAGGTTGGTTTTGACACTCATACAGAGCTGTATGTTGTTCTTGAGAATTTCAATTGCTTTGGACAACTGCACGTTCTCAAACGTCTGTCCGTTCACCTCCAATATCTGTACATTGGGTGTGGAAAAAAAAAAAGTGTTAACGAAAACGCTTCAGTGTCTTGTTGTATTACGATGAGGTTTGAAAGGTGTTACCTGGTCTCCACGTTTAAGCCCCGCCTCCTCTGCTTTGCTGCCGACTTCTACGCTACTGATAAAGAGGCGCGTCCCACGTTCAGCTCCTCCAATAAGTGTGAAGGGGAGGGGTATCTCTCGAGCAGTTCTTGCTATAGTAATCACTCTGGGTTTGGCTTTAGCAGCACAAGCTATGTTGAGCAGCCGCAACTGTCCTGTCATTTTCTGCTCGGATAAATAGTTAATAAGGATGCTTGTCTAACAATGTGATCATGTATAATTAAAATATAGGCTATTGAGATACTTAGGAGCAATGCTTGCACGCTGTACACACCTCTTTTTCCAGATTGCTCTGGAACTCCTCCAAAAAACTGGTCATATCAGGGTCTCCTTCAAAGTCACTAAAGTGATTGTTAACCCATAACAATACAACTCGGGTTACCTGAATAGAAGAGAGTGTGAAGAGCTATGAGTTCAGTCCCATTGAAGCTTAATGTATGTGTTTCTTTAGAAAAGGTTGAATTAGTCAAGCTACCTTGTCCCGTAAACTGGGGTCATTAAACCAGTCCAGAAGTCTCTGTCCCAAAATCAGAGGGCTGGGCAAGAAGGTACGATAGGTCAACAGGAAGTCTTCAATATATGTGGGGTCCACGACTGAATGATCCTCCACTAAGTGCTGCATTAGCCTCTCAGCAGTACCCTAAAAAGAGTACATTATATTTTTTCTTTTAAAATACCATATTGAAAATGTGCTGGTAAAAATAAATACAAACACAACACATTTTAAATCTGATATTAATTGGTTAAATGGTCTGACAAAATAAATAAACCATATACACTACTGTTCAAATGTCTGGAGTCAGTAAAAATTTATGTTTTTGAAAGTCTCTTATGCTCAACAAGGCTCCAAATATTTGATAAAAATTATATTAAAATGTAATATTACGACATATTATTACAAATGAACTTTACTGTTTTATAATGTAATACATTTTAAAATGCATTTAAAATGTAGGCAACACTTTAGTTTAGGTTCCAATCCTCACTATTAACTAGTTGCTTATTAGCATGCATATTACTAGGATATTGGCTGTTTATTAGTACTTAAAGCACATATAATGCCTTATCCTGCATGACCATATTCTACATCCTTTAATCCTACCCAATACCTAACCTTAAGAACTAACTATTTATAAACAGTAATTAGGAGTTTGAGGCAAACGTTGTAGTTAAAAGCTAGTTAAAGGTGAGAATTAGACCCTAATCTAAAGAGTGACCAAAATGTATTTCTGTGATGGCAAAGTTGAATTTTCAGCAGTCATTACTACACTTTTCAGTCTCACATAATCCTGCTGATTTCAAGCTCAAGATTTTGTGCTTTCTTCTTATCATCAAAGTTGTTGCACTGCTTCCATTCACATAACATAAAAGCTCAGAGATTAAAGCTGCAGTCCGTAACTTTGGCACTCTAATGCTTAATAAACAGAACTGCATGTGTCTTGCGGAAGAACATTGTAGCAGGAGCTAATTCTCTCTGTTTATGTCTAAGACGAGTCAAACGGCTACTCCACGGTGGTTAAGACCCAAACCAGTCTAAAATAGTCTGAATATAAACACTTACTACAGGTGTACTATAATAGTGATTCAGGATTATCCAAAAAACACAGTTTAGAAAAAGGATTAGCTTTAAATTAGACCAGACTGTTAATAAGTCTATAAACTGAAATATATAAATAAATTATATAAGTATTATAAGCTGAAATATGATTTATAAGTAGAGCTTTTTTTTAATTCAGATTTTTACCTTGACAACAATGTGTCCCTTGCGGGTGCCCGTCCTGTCAAGTTCTCTGTGTTCTTTTACCATGACGATTTCTCCTTCCTCCTCCACTCGCTGTGTGTTCTGCTCAACCTGATTCAGAATGCAGCAGTAGTCCTGTTGGGCAATACACACAAACTACACACACACACACAGAGACAAATAATAATGTTAACAGGTGATTTTTTTGCATTAAAAATAAAGCTTGAATAGGAACTTTTAATTAATAGACTATAATCATCTTGAAAAGAAAATATTCAAGTAAAACATTTCTACAGTAAATTTATTGACATTAATGAGCTGCTGGATATTCAACTTTAGTAGACACTCTTACCTGACAGTCGTCCACTTTGGTCCTCATGACTCCAGTCATCAGCTGTTTCTCCAAAGAAGGGGAGACGCCAAAACTTCCACCCATACACACATTCTCAGAGCGGCCATCTGGATTGATAACCTCTACTGCTCCATTCAGAATGACTGACCATGAGTCCAGCTAAAACACACACACACACTTGTCCGTTATCAAGTGAACACCACAAATGATGAGATGAAATGCTGCAATGGGTCCAGTCTCACCTCTTCACCATGGTTGAGCACGATAGTTCCAGCCCGTTCCACGACCGCGAACACCATGACAGCGCAGAGTTCCCTCCGCACTGAAACACTCAGACTGGCAAATGCAGGGAGCTGCTGCACAAACTCCAGCAACTGCTCTGTACACAGAAAGAGAAGAAGAAAATGAAATTGAAAGTGAAAATAAAAGTGAAAGTGTAGCATAGTGGATTTCCATCACTGAACAATTCAAACAACAAAGGTTTACCAATGTCATCATCTGTACGGTCCATCGGATCTTTCTCCAGACAGTCTCTCACAATATCCCGACTCATAAGAGGGTCCGTTCCCCTCCCTACGTCTTCCTCATCATCATCTTCGTCTGAGTCCACCGCTGTTTCAGGAAGCCCACTCAGATCCATGTCCCCACACTCACTCTCAGTGGCCTGTAAAAGAAACAGTGAGCTCAAATTGTTTTTCTTCACAAATTTTCAGCTAGTGATGATGTTCACAAACATTTGATTTGTGGTTTAACAGCTTTCTGCCCTTTGTGACCCACATGTCCAAATAAACAAAACAAATCGCATGAATATGATTTGCTTGTGCATGTGTGTACATGTAGAAATGTGTTGACACTTTGAGGTGACTGTGTTTGCACATACCGTGGATGTTTGTGTGTGTATGTGTAATGCTGATCAGTGGATCAAAAGGTGAGTGTGAGGATTGACATGAATAGGTTATGGAGAGGTGACAGATGGACCAGAGCGGAGGGGGGGGTATACTCTACAGATCAGGATTTAAATGCATGTGAGTGTGTGTCCCAGATGTTCACAATAAATCTGTCAGGATGTGCTTCGGTTGTAGTGTGTAAGGAGATTGCTTTCTAGAGGGATAGAAACTGAGTCTTTTATCACCTGGTAAATATCTGATAGGCTGCTACTTCCCGAATCACTAGCGATGCTGGACCGTGATTGGCTGGAAGTCATATGGGAGTGGCAACTGTCAGAGGGGTGAAGCTTTGAGAAGTCGGCAGGAAGCTAAAAGAGAAACATATACCGTTACAAAATTAAAAACTAATATGATAAAAACTGATAAATAAATGAATTGTTTTAAAACATTATTATTTTTATTATTATATAAAGTAAACTAAAAAACGATTTTAGGTTAAAATGCATATAAGTGATATTTCAGGTCCTGTGACTGGTCAGCATTTCTTTTTCAACACACACACACACACACACACATATATATTCCATGTAGATCTTAAATAATATGATCAAAAGTTAATGTATAATTTATAATAATATAATAATAGTAATAATGTATATATTATTTAAAATAACCATGTATATGCGCAAAGACAACACAGCAATTGTTTCCTGATAAAAGTTTGCGAGTATTGGTGAAAATATAGAGTTTTCCCCCCAAGGATTAATTTTAAACCCCTGTGTGATTGTCTGCACAATTACTCTTTAGTGGAATGGATGATGTGTTCCCACACGCAAACAAGTTCAGCTGAATGGTAGCGTTTTAAAAATCTAATAATCCATCTACTGAGAGTCATTGTAGTCATTGGTTGATAAAAATAAACACTCACTGAAATATTATTGCTAGCAGTGAGGCACAAACCAATCATGAAACAATCAGTCATTCATAATAATAACTGGATAATCATTTTTTAAAAATCAATTCATTGAGATTGGGCTCATAAAGATTAATTTTAAGAAAAATAAATATTTAAGAGAAATATTTATATTCACTATAGTGCATTTCATGACTTTTTAGTGTTTGCACATAGGGTCCTTAATTTAATTGACTTATTCCAGGCCTTTCAATCACAACAAAAACAAACATGCCTACAACAAAAAAAAAAAACTTCAATGATTCAATGAGCGTAAATGACTGAAGCTTTCATCAGTTAATGAATCAAAATAATGATTATATTCACTAATACACCTCCCTAACACCCTACTGTAAAACACCCTGAGGCTTACTACAGTAAAGTTGATGGGTTCATGTACAGATGCCCTAGATCAGATGGCCTACATACAGTGACCCTATAACAAACATTGCATGTAGAATTCATACACGCAACTCAAAAACTCAATGCGACCTCTCAGGCTCGCAAAATTATGAAAATGATATCTACATATAATTTCATATGTATATAAAATTATATGTATTAAAACATAATGGGAGGAAAACAACTGCTAAAACAGATCTAAAAAAAGTATGTAAAAATACAAATCAAAAATAAAAATCACACAAAAAAACTAGAAAAAATAATAATGTAGATTTAAATTTAGTTATTAATTCAAAATAAATATCAACACCTAAAACAGACCAACTCTAAAAATGAAATTCAATACTCATAATTTTGTTCAATTCATAATATATTTAGCCACTATTTGTTTATTCAAATTCAATTTCTGCTTGTATACTGATAATGACAAAAATGTGTCCATCTATCAAAATCAATAAATAATGCTTCATAAAATAAAATAGTGCATGCATATGTATTTTTATCAAATAATTTATTAATACATGCTTGAGTTTAGCATGTATATGCAAAAAAGGTGTTGTCCACAGGCTTTTGAGAGCGTGTTTGCGTGTGAGAGAGATACTCACAGTCCTGGTCTCCTGTCCCCTGACTCCATAGCCATGAGACAGAACTATCTGTCTCATAGCCTTCAATACTGAATGTCCAACCATCCTCTGTGTACTTAAACTAACCTCAAAAACATTATTTGACTAACTGTTCTAACTGCGCCTACTTGATGTTTTTCTCCCCCGTGCGCACTCTCGGAGAGAGCATCCCTCTCTCTACTGAAATCTGCTCACTGTGACAGACAGCACTCAGGCAGAGGGATGCTTCTGCAGACATCAGACCCTGCCCCTCGGTCCCATCCATTCACACACACACACACACACACCAACACAAGATCATGGGATTATCGAGAGGCTGGTATTGTTTAAGCGGAGGGGGTGGGGGATGGTTGACACCCCCTGCCCCACTAAACCAGTCACCAGGGTCAACCCAGCAATGACTGGCAGCTCACTGAACAATCAGGATGGCACATATATCTGTCAAGAGCCCACCCCCTGTTGTCAATCATTACCAGTTCCATTAAAAGACAGAAGATAGTAAAAAAAAAAAAAAAATGCTAATGCAGAGAGAGACTAAATGCTCAAAGTGCCACAGGGGAGAAACTGTGAGTGATTGAAAAGAAGATAGGGATGCTTTTACCCGATTAAACTTGCTAAGAATCTAGCCAAGACTATGGCTCTGTTCCAAAACCTAGTGATCTGTCTTGTTGTCTACATGGGCTGCTGTCTTCCAAGGCAGCACTTTATATAGATTAACACTCAGTGTTGAGAAAGTTCACTTTCTACATGAACTAGTTCAAAGTTCAGTTCACACATTATAAAATGAACTAGTTCAGTTCATAGTTCATACTTCAAAAAATGAACTAGTTCATTTATAGTTCTTTTTTTTCCATATGTTGCAAGCTTTTTTATTATTATTATTATTATTGCCCAGAGCCCATATACAACCACAAACAACAATTATTTTATCGACGGGCAGTCAGCACAGAACCAGCACACCGACCTCGTCATGAAATCTGTTTAAATGATCATACGACGCCTCCTTGCTCGCTGCTTTGTCGACGGCGGCCAAGGTGCGACAATGCTGGCTGGTGTTGCCAGATTGGGCATTTTTTAGCTACATATTAAGGCCTGTTTACGTGTGTTTTAGCCTGGTTTTCGCCTCTATAGACATCTGGCACCCTATTGAACGAAGTTAAACTGAGAGAGCGTGCCTTCACAGACACCAGAATGAACGAGTTCATAACGTTCATCAGGCAGTAATACAGCACGTTCAGTTCACGTTTGCCCAAAATATGAACGCGTTCATGGACTATCGTTCATTGAACGCGTTCAGGCACGACATTGTTAACACTCTACATAGGCAGTAACTCAGTCCAACAAAGGTTCTGTTTCGACCTGGTATTAAGATGCTTTTTCAGAGATCTGATCACAGGTGTAAACAGGGTCAAAACGTTCTCGTCAAGTCAGGTGCGTGGAAGACAGCAATCATTGATTCCAATAAAGTTTGCTGCTAACAGTATAGCACACATAAATATTGGGTAAATACTAGTGCTGTCAAATGAATAAAATATTTAATCACATTAATGTCATAGTTAACTCACGATTAATCGCAATTAATCACACATTTTTATCTATTCTAAATGTCTCTTGATTTCTTTTTGTCCCATTATTTTTGTTCTCATTTTAATGCTCTTATTAACATGGAAAAGTGGATTGGCTTGCTTTGTGCGAGTTTTTTTAAAAAAAAAAAAATTATTGAAAACAACATTGGCATTTACTGTGTTCAATTTCACATTAACATTCTCAATTGGTGCAAATAATCTTTCACACAATATAACACTGTCCATCAATAAAAGAGGTAAAGAGATACTGACGAGGTACTGATATTGACGAAGGGGCGGAGAATTCACATCAGCTGTGTGTGTGCTTGGCCATCAAGTGGTATTTGCTGCGATGATAGCTCCGTTCACAATGACAAAACACAGAGATCACTTTGGTCTCGTCAATGGGACCATTTGGCAACTTTTTAAAAGTAAACTTTCAATTCAGAATCTTATGAACATCCATTTCGCCATCTCGTGCTCGTCATCCAATCAAAACGTAGTGTTGGCTGGCAAGCCAAAACAAGTGTGCCCGGCATGCCTGTTGTTTTGTTTCCGGTCTAGCTAGATCCGCTTGCAGTTTGGTCAACGAAGCAACAAAAAGTCCTTGCTTGGCGCAAGCCATGAAAATGAATGGTTGCAAAACCATGTGAAAAACTACAAAAATGGCTAGGCCAAAAAAACATTACGCCGTTAAAATGGGTTTGAGTTAATGCCGTCTGCACACCAAAAGCATGGCCAGATATCAGCGGACTGTGCTAACAACAATTGCAAAAATTGGGCGGCACACCAAAAGTGTGTGCAGATATAAGCAGACTGTGGGGATTACGAAAATACTGCAAGCCAAAGTGGCATGCAGACACAGGAAGTATACTTTCAGCTTAACTAGACAAGTCTCTAAACATGCATACGAAAGTTGCAGTGTACTTTCTGTGCTACTATAAAAATAATGAGAATGATATGGTTATCAAATTTGAGAACTTGCACCAATTTAACTATGTTGGAATAACATTAAAAGTGGCACAGTGTCGAAGTGTTTGCACCTTTTGAGGGAATCAACCTATTAATGGTTTACTTGGTTGTTTCTGCATATAAAGCTCACAGGATAATGTATTTAATAAAAATGTAAAAGATTATTATTTGTTAGTAGTAAAAAGGTAAGTTACCTGGGATTTTGAGCATTCCTGCAGCAAGACAAAATTAAAAACACATTAATACACATTCCACATGCTAATTTAATACAAAACTTGTTAAAGCATAACACAAGATGAGTAATACAAGTAAGTTCCAACTTGTTAAGATGCACACACCGACTTAAAACCAAATAACGTGAAAAAGAGCTAAGATCACATGTACTGTACCATTGTTCAGTAATTTGTGTAATTTGCTGACATTTCAATAGGAATTCACACGACCTAGATTTAGCGAGGGTGAAAAAGTTCCCCAAACAGATCTTGCAGTGGGTTGAAGCTGACCACAAAAATTCACCACATTGACCGACAGAAAGCTGCTTAGTTTGAAAGTGACTTTCGCAAAAATATTTTGCTAATGTGATCACACCTTAGAACAGGGGTTGGCAAGTAAGGTTGGCATCGGGGCAAAAAATATTTTTGACACTAGATGGCGGGCCAGAACATATTCAATGGATAATTTAAGAAATTAAATGATGAAAAATGAAACTAGAATTGCCTGTGAGACTGGTAGACCTACAGTGTCTTTTGTAACTGGTAGTGAGCTGTTACTCTGTGTTAAATCCTGAATATTCGATGTGTTGATTTAATTATAGAATATCGAATAGGTCGTGCGATTATCGTCTTAAAAAATCCTGTTGTTTTTGGTGCTGATTCGGTGGTGAAGCCGTGTTTATGTAACCAGAGGATGGCGCTGCCAATAACGCAAAAGCTGTCACAAGGAATCGGCAAAAGTAATGATTATGAATGTTTCCAATATAGCAAGGAGACATTTTAATTGTTTATCGCCTGCAAAAGTGACCGCAGTAGTTAACGCGTCTATGGATTATATAAGCAGAGAGTAGTCGGTTTCTTTTTGTTTTGAATTGTTTCGTTTAAAATTAGACATTAAGCTTTCTATATATTTCTCCTGCCTGTGAGGCAGCTTTCTGATTATATTGTCTGCTATATTTGCTTCTTATTTAATAATTCCAGGCAATTGGTTGATAAAACATTGATTAAAAATAAGATACAAATGATACAAAATGAAATTTAAGTTTTAGAAAGGCTATCTACAAAACAAAACTTGTGGTCAAAGTGGTCAAAATCATGAGCACACTAAATGCGTCTTTATAGCACGCATTGTGTTTATCATGCAATTTATATGCGAAAATTTGTTTTTACTTGCATATGATACGGATGGGTAGGTTTAGTAGTGGTGTTCGGTGTGTGTGTATTATATGTTGGCTAGTATTAGTGGTGTGGGGTGCGTGTGTATTACACGCAATAAAGTGCGAATCAAATGCACGTGAAAAACTGCTTTTCATATGCACGTGAAAACTCAATTTCACGCTTAAATTGTCCGATAAACACAACACTTGCTATAGAGACGCATTTAATATAGTTTAGACATTTCATGACGGTTATTTTAAAGGTGTGTCTAGCGACCCACAGATTTTTTTGAATGTCTTTCAGAATTTTTCAGGCTGCGGCGCGGACCAGATATTATAGTTTTGGCCTGCAGGGCGCCTGTTGCCGACCCCTGCCTTAGAAGATGCAACTATTTATACATTCATAATTTGATGAAAAAGGCAGGTATATTTAAATGGTATATATAAATATATGAGTGTGAACGAACCGAGTGGTATCCTGGTGGCAGAGGGGGCTTGCTGACTGGATAATGATCAACCGTATCAATTATAGTCTGTCGTTCTCCACGCTGGTTTATCTTGCGGAATCTTCTCCTGGACTGTCGATGAGATACTTGTCTTTGGAAATACTCGTCGTTGTCGTCCATGTAGTCCACCTGAGAAAGACAGAGAGTGGATAAGTGTATCCCCATCTAACTGATACATGGCTTATTGCACCTATACATATACTGTACAACTCACCACAATCATTTCTGAAGCCTCAAGGACGATACACTCACAACCACGACGTAAACTACCTGCAGATCGCTTACCAAAACTGAAATGACACCGCACACGTCACACAAAACACTGAAGAAGACACATTGAGGAACCAATGGGGCAAACCAAACTCAAACAAACACTCGTACCTGCTGCGGGGAAGAAACATAGACTCCTTTATAAAGACAGAGCCAGACAGGAGGATATACCAGCAGGTGCCAATGTCATCAGGACTATAACACACAAACAAATATGACAACATTACACACACACACGCACAAAAACTCAACATCTATTTTAGTCCATTCTTACTATTATATCCCAGGTGGAGCAGGGACCCAAGAACACACATGCCACGTTGGGCAAAGGAAACAAATGTGATGAATCATTCAAATGTGGGTGAATGTTTTTTGGTCAGTTCAGTAGTTCTCAGAGCAAGGAGGCACCAGTGGTTTGCAAGTCTCACATACCCAGACTTTTTACTATCCGCATGAGGTCTTGAAAAGTGAACAATATACAAAAACTGTTTTACAAAAAACACAGAGGTCATTAGCTTCAATATGTAAGGACTGTGATCTGGATTTATATTATCGTTCAAAAGTTTGAGGTCAGTAAGATTTTATGTTTTCGAAGCAACTATTTTAAGCTCACCAGGGCTGCATTTAATTGTTCAAGAACCAATTTTAATATATCATTTATTCCTGTAATGGAAAAGCTAAATTTTTAGGAGCAATTTCTCCAGTTTTCAGTGTCATGTAATCCTTCAGAAATCATTATATTCTAATTATTTGGTGCACAAGAAACAACAAATGTCTTATAACAGCATATATATATATATATATATACACACATACATACATACTATCGGTCAAAAGTTTTAGATCGGTAGGATTTTTTATGTTTTTAAAAGAAGTCTCGTCTGCTCACCAAGGCTACAATTATTTGATAAAAAATACAAAAAACAGTAATATTGTGAAATATTATTACAATTTAAAACAGCGGTTTTCTATGTGATTATATAGTGAAGTGTAATTTATTCCTGTGATCAAAGCTGAATTTACAGCATCATCACTCCAGTCTTCAGTGTCACATGATCCTACAGAAATGATTATAATATGATGCTCAAGAAACATTTATGATTATTATCCATGTTGAAAACAGTTTTTTTACATTTTTATTTCAGGATTCTTTGATGAATAGAAAGTTCAAAAGAACAGAATTGATCTGAAATGGAAAGCTTTTGTAACATTAATCACTACCATTCAAAAGTTTGGGGTCAGTAAGAATTTATTTTTATATTTTTGGGGGAAAGAAATTAGAAAATACTTTTATTTATTAAGGATGAGTTAAATTGATCAAAAGTGACAGTAAAGACATTTATAATGTTAGAAAAGATTATATTTTAAATAAATGCTGTTCTTTTGAACATTCATCATAGAATTTTGGGGGGGAAATAAATAAATTACACTTCACTATATATTCACACAGAAAACCGCTGTTTTAAATTGTAATAATATTTCACAATATTACTGTTTGTCATTTTTTTTTTTTTCATTAAATAAAGCAGCCTTGGTGAGCAGAAGAGACTTCTTTTAAAAACATAAAAAATCTTACCGATCTAAAACTTTTGACCGGTAGTGTACACTTTGTGTATGCATACATCTGAACACACATCTAATCAAAATGTTCGTGTCTGAAACTGAAGTATACTTTGGGCTAAAGTCGATTACATTGATGCACTCGACTTTAGCCCAAAGTATATTTGGATTTTGACTGTTGGTGGTCCTTGTGCATGCCAGATCGCTGGTTTTCAAACTATGCTGAGGGGAAACCGTATGAGCCTACACATTTGCACAACACAATTCCCAAATGAAAAGCAGCAAATGACTGATTTTGTATGTTTGGAAAGCACAGACTTGGACAGCTTGGTTAATTCAAGCATTGCACCACAGTGTAGATGTAATGCAAATAACAGATGAAAAAATTGGGGGTAAGAAGAAGGGGGAAGTATGTAATGTGGACTGTTCCCGATTTTGTTGACCTAGCATGACTTCACTTTACCTGATTATATTGACTGTTCAAAGTAAATATAAAGTATATAATTTTCATTAACACAGCAATTCATTTGCAATAAAAGTAAATGTTATGTGTGAACTGAACATGAAGCTTGTATTTTTGTTAAATCACAAATTATTCAAATGACCCTGTTTATTATTATAGAGCTCTAAAGTAGTCAAATTCATCCTTAGTCAGGTGGATGAATGTCTGGTAACATGTTGCTGATATAATTCCAAACAAATGCATTGTAAACAGTCCCTTTTTGACACATCAACAGCTGAAAATAGATACTTCGCCATGTCAATGAAGTCAAAAGTCTAAATATAACTAGATTTATCACACTAGTCTCATGGCAACATGTAAACGGCTTATGTCCTGTGGTTTTACTCTTCAAATAGTGTGCATTTCAATGTTTATTGCCTGGCCCCATATGCTTCCAGTCACAAGTTCGGTAGTATAATGTTTGTTTTTTTTAACTCAAAAATATATTCTGTGTTAACTGATATTGTGTCACTAATAGTGTTGATGAGCTTAACATGTAATGTACCCGAACATTGCTTTAATTACTTTAGCAGTAACCCAAGCAAACAGGGGCTTGTGAACAGAATGTTTCATTTCAACAGGCAGAGTGTGTGTCTATATTCAAAAAGCCTTTAGAAGCTTAATCCCGTCTGTAGATGGACGTTACAGATTTAAATTAAGTGAGCACTAGACAGATGTCGGTGTGTGTTTGTGTCTGAGACAGAGGGAGAGTGAGCAGATGTGTGTGGACAAAATTATCCTTGTGACTTTGATGTAAACCTCTGATAAACTGACCTAGATAGAAATACATTTTCTGACAGCCTTTGTGAGCAGGAATCGTGCGTGTTTGCATACTCACTAGTATAAAACCTCATTAGCTTCATGCTGTTCATATCGTACTGTCTCACACATCAACCTGTAAATGAAATTAACAGTGTTAAGTACACGACTCTGTGATAGGAATGAAAGTACCATCACACACAGACACAAACAGTGGTCTCGTACCGGAGCTGGTGTTCTCTCAAGTTGGACAGTGCTTCCATGCCATGGAGGTACGAGTACACGATCTGCAGATCCTGCAAAACACATAGCAGGCTACAATCACACTATTTACATGACTTTCCATTAAAACAGTACAAGTTGGTTATCGATTACGAAAATGTAACATTTAGCTCTATTCCACATTGCACACAACCCTATTATTATGCTGGATTCCATAAAACTGTGACACCCAAGTCATTTGGACCCTTTATACAGCACAGTGTGAGGACAAGTTAATAATGTTTTCTAAATTTTCTAACTTGTTACACACATTTTTATCATTGACTGCATTTGTCCAGCTCAATAATTCAACCATTAAAGGGTTAGTTCACCCAAAAATGAAAATTCTGTCAGTATTTACTCACCCTCATGTTGTTGCTGAACACAAAGAAAGATATTTGGAAGAATGTTTTAATCAAACAGATCTCAATCCCCATTGACTACCATATAGTAGTCAATGGGAAATGAGACCTGTTTGATTAAAACATTCTCAAAAATAACAACAAATAAACACATAGAGGTTTGGAACAAATTGAGGGTGAGTAAATACTGACAGAATTTTCATTTTTGGGTGAACCAACCCTTTAATATTGGGATGAATGGGAAAAACTGTAATTTAGAGCATTCTAAAATAAGCCAAAATAAGACACCAGGTGACAGCAAAGTCACTTCATCTTTAGGTTTTAGCTCCAAGAACTTATTGGAATGATATTTTAATGTAGTTAAAAAAAAATACAACTACATAGTAATTAATTTACATAGAAAATATGGTACTTTTTGAAGTAAATAAATTCAAAAAATCACCCCAAAATAAAAAAAAAAACACCAGAAATGGATAGACAAAACTTTATCGAAGACAGTGATATAACATTTATAATAAATAAAAATTAGGATCACATATTTGTCCACACAATTACAGGATTAAGGGCTATAAAGTGAATACGGTTTGAGGGCTACACCCCTTTCAAGTCATGTAAAACCTGCCTGCATGTACACCAAAGCGCCAGTAGGAGGTGCCCTGTATATGAATATACACACAATTAATAAATACACCAAACACAGACAACCTTCCTTACCAACTATTTAGCTCCACCCATCCTAAGTGACAATCAGTGTTTTAACAAGAATGGAATGTTTGCAGATACTCTATTCACACATTCACTTTGATGGTCTTTTTACTCACTATACTCATCACTATCCTCTTCCTCTTTTGACAAGATGAAAGACAATCTGGATATACCGTCCTCACATTCTAAAAAAACGCAAGTGCCTTCGCAAGAATCTTTCTGGAAATAACATACAGATATGTTAGACATGTCTGCTTCCCCAAAATGCCATCATGCCATCAAAAAAACACTACTGAGCAAATTTTAACATTTATAGTAGAGCTGGGTTAGGATGATCATGATGATCCAACTAAAATAACATAACATATATAAATAAAATAACCAGATTGAGCTGAACTATAAACTTTTATCCCAGCACTTCTGAGACAATTTGAATGACTGTGTGTATTGTAACATAAATACGGATACTGTGGTTGAAAAGACTGTTTGTGAAGCCGTTTCACACCGATTGATACACGTCAAGGCAGGTCTGAATGCTCACTGTGATCATACTTAAAGATTTAAAGTCTAATAACTCTTTGACTTGATCATACTAGTCAAAGATTTAATAGACATAGCCGAATAGCAGTGACGTTTAGAAATAAGATTGCGTGGGTGTTTGAATCGAGACAGTGATCCTTTATCTCTAATTTATAGCTAGCTACCAACCTGAATAACACAACTTTTGGTTTAAATGGCAAATATATTTAAGAGTTTTACCACAACTCATTGGTCAAGAATTTACATCTTTGTTTAGTGTCACTGGTCTAATAGATACGCTTCCTCAAACGCGTTTCTGAAAATAAATTACTGATAAGGAAAACCTGTAAAGAAATAATTTCCTGTTCAGAGATTGCCCTGTTGATGCAGCATCAGACTTAGAATGAGATTATATCAACCTATTATGCAAGCGCATATAGAATATCTGAAAGAGGAAAGAGCTACGCAACAGATATAAGATATAACCACATGAATGCTAGAAAACTTTATCACACTTCTGCAAAGTGAGAAAACAATCAGGTGCAAAAAACCTCAAGCAAATTACAAGAAACTTTACATGCAACACTTCCTAACAGTAACTAAAAAGTGACAAGATGCCAAAACATGTATTTTTGCTGAGATTTTTAGCTTGATTTATCTACACCTCAGGTTCTGAAAAGGGCAGATCACATGGTCCTGTCGACACAAGTTTAGGGTTTCCCATTATGAATTTCCTGCGATTTCAAAACTTTACTTATGCTATAAGGACATAGTGGCTGCATAATGAGGTTATGAAAGCTTGATATACATTCTGACAAAAAAACAACAACACCATCATCATAAAATGAGGTCCAAAAAATATAATACAATATATAAATACTAATTTCTGATACTATTTCAACAATTTTACATCATGTTACTTTTTATTTGTCATTTCCAGGTTTTATATCTGACTTTGATTCCCAGATTTTCAATGTGGTCTCACTATATGTGTGAAGTGAAGTGCAGAGACCATTAAAGGCCCGAACAATCACACATATACCATCCGCTCTCCACAGTGATTTCACTCGAACAGGACATTAGAGACGTCACTCTTTCTTCCTCTCCTCCCTGACATTCCAACGTCCTTTCTCATCGTCTTTGACTTCCCTCCAACCCATCCATCGCTCTCATCTGCTCTCACTACATTCAAATTAAAGTAAATTCAAACTGCCCAATAGGTTCCAGTCAGGGGCGGTGTGCTGTGGTCTGCAATTGGTTGATCTGAGTAGAAGGGCAGGAATGTTTATTCTTGGACAATGGCATTTCCTCTTTGAGAGACAGACACGTACATAGAGTTCTGATTATGGCAATGGACCGAGTCCTTTGAGTCAGGAGACCAAGGTCACATTTTCAGTTGGTTGAAGTCCTGACCACTGGATCAAAATCTAGAAACTACTTTCTTGCACACATGCTGCCTGTCCCATCTAAACATATGACATGCACTTTCATTTTTTTGAAAAGAAAAAATCTAAATGTGGTTTTGTAATTAAGTTAGTCGTTTTCCGATTAAATCCAAATAAATATGGGGGAAAGACATTATTGCACTGTAATTACAATTTATTTCCATGCTCTCAACAGCCTGGCATCAGAAGTTTCAAATCCTTAAACTAATTCCACACAGGTTTCTCATATGCTCTCTGACTAAATCTGAAAAATCACCCATTACAAACAGCTTCAGTTAGCCCTGAAGAGACATGAATAAAGTGCACAATCATAGAAATCATAAATGATTTTAGTGATGGGTGGTATACCAGTTCATACCGAATTGGATTATCATACCGTTTGGATTTTAGCGATTCCGATTCTACCTATCGATTCTAATTCTTATTGATTCCCATTTTCAATTCCAATATGGTATGTGTGCGTGGGGGTTGGACAATGAAACTGAAACACTGGCCAATGTTGGAGGTTTCACATCTATATGCCTGGCGGCCAATCTTCAGAGTGAAGCACGGGTGGATCAGTGATGGTTTGAGCTCCAATATCATGACAATCCTGATTGTATTTGATGGACACGACACTTCCGAGGACTACCAAACCCTTCTGGAGGATCATGAGCACCTGATGCTCAAACCGTGTATCAGCATGATCATGCACCAACACACACAGCAAGACTTGTGACAGAAGGGTTTGATGAAGATGAAAGTGACGTTGAACATGCACAGTCACCGGATCTAAATATTATTGAGGTGTTTTGAAGGAGCGAGTCCACCAGCATCATATGGTGACCTGGACACTATTCTGGAAGAGGAATGGCTGATAATCCCTCTGGTCACTGTGAAGGACTTCTATCTCTCATTCCCAAGATGAATTGGTGCTGTATTTGGATGCAAAATGAGGCCCTCACCATACTAACAAATTATTGTGTTGTAAAACCAGGTGTTTCAGTTTCATTGTCCAACCCCTGTATATATAAAGTCAAAAATTTAGATATTACACTATGCAAACGATTAATCGATGATAGATTAATTGTTAATAATAAAAAAAGAGAGCGTGTGCCAAATAAGTGGCACTGACCGAGAATACATTTTTCCTCTCATCTCATTTGGCTTCACCCTCGTCTGCTGCACAACACACAACAGTTAAATTAAGATAAATAAAGTTCGGTATTACACGACGAAACAATCGAGTGCGATCTAAAGTGGATTTTGATTAAATAATGAGCAGACTGCATTATCTGTGATTTTATAAAACGCCACACCTGCTCAGCATTTCTACGCTTAGCATTTGTAAGCATTTCTTATCCAAAATTTTTATAAAAAGACACTGAGCCGCATGAAAAACACATATCGTCGTAATCATATATTTATTTGGCTTCATGTTTCATCTGTAGAAACGTTTTTGGAGTTATGATCACATTATATGATTGACAACTATGAGCTCGACTCATAACAGACACACTCAAAAGCAATCAGCACTGTATGCTGTTTCAAGCTCTTCAGATCCCAAAATATAAAAAAATGATAATCCACATAAAGAATTATGCTTTATACAAAACAAATTATCATTTTTATTCTTTTTCCACTGAATTATGCGATCTAATGAAGAGCTTGAAACAGCATACAGAGCGCTGTTCTTTTGTTCATATTCATTATAATAAATCTGTTCTCACACACCAATGATATTAAATAATCAAAATTCTCTTCTCTCTTCATTTATCTCTTTAAATAAAGAAAACTATTTCAATGTTTATCGATTCCAGAATTTTTAAGTCTCAGCTCTACTCCTCAAAGCCCCAGTAAATGGTGGGCTAAAAACACCCCGGCCGTTGGCCCCGAGGATGCCCGATCAAGCCTCGGAAGTGACAGTGGAAACACGACTGGCCCTGGCATGCACTAGCACGCTCACTTTTTTTCTGACAGTGGAAACGCGGTTAATGATTCCTCTGGGAAACTCAAATAGTGTCT